CGGGTTTTGGCCACGTGGGGATCCCTGCCGTGCCGAGGGGATGGAGAGGAGCGGGGTTGGCTGTGCATGGATCCCTGCCGTGCCGAGGGGATGGAGAGGAGCGGGGTTGGCTGTGCATGGATCCCTGCCGTGCCGAGGGGATGGAGAGGAGCGGGGTTGGCTGTGCATGGATCCCTGCCGTGCCGAGGGGATGGAGAGGAGCGGGGTTGGCTGTGCATGGATCCCTGCCGTGCCGAGGGGATGGAGAGGAGCGGGGTTTGGCCACGTATGGATCCCTGCCGTGCCGAGGGGATGGAGAGGAGCAGGGTTCAGCCCGTGAGCGGGGCTACAGGGGCAGAGCCACGTGCGTGGTTGGGTCCTGGAGGCTCAACCAACAGCATCTGCGCAAAGCATCATCTAGAGATTGGAACCCTCCAACCCAGGGGGTCTGAGGAAACTTCCGAGCAGGAAGCGGGGCTGAACTGTGTGAGGATGCTGGGGTTTGTTCTTTCTTTGGTCAAACCTTCAACACCAGACTCAAAGCTCAGGCTGTCTGCTCTCCCCGAGGTGTTCGGGTGCATCCCGTCCCCTCTCCAGGCAGGAGCAAGCCCGGCTGACCTGCTCTCCTCGCCTTCCATCAGCTTCCTGTAGGTGAGGATCTCCACATCCAGCGCCAGCTTGATGTTCATCAGCTCCTGGTACTCCTTCACCAGGTGAGCCATGTCCTCCTTGCTCTTCTGGAGGGCTTCTTCCAGCTTGACCAGTTTGGCTTTGGCGTCCTTGAGGGCCACCTCGCCGTGCTCTCCCGCCTCTCTGATGTGCTCCTCCAGGTACAGGCACTGGGGTGCAGAGGGAGGGGGGTGATGGAGGCGTTAGGTGTGGTGTCAGACCCGTACGTCAGAGGTTTGTCACCCACCCCAGGACACACCTGGCTCTTCTGGGACACGATGCAGGACCTCAGCTTCTGGATCTGGATGTTCAGGTCCGCGATCTCCCGCCGGCTGTCCAGGAGGTGAGCCCCGTAGGTGCCCGACTGGCTGCTGCCTTCGTTCAGCTGCAGGAGGTGGAAGAGGGGTTACCCGCGTGCCGCCTCGGCTGCAGCAAAGGAATCTGCGAGGATTCCCGCTGCCCTGGAGGAGAAACACCCAACTGGGGAAACGCAGCGGGTGTGGGGAAGGACTTTGGGCTCATTCTCGTCCTCCTCTGCCTGGAGCTGTGCCAGGTGTGGAGCACGCTGTCCCTTGGGTTAATCCCATTCTTTCTTGCTCTGTTTGGAGGAGCACCAGTCATTTGTGTCCTGGGTGGGGAAGCTGGGAGATGTCTGAGCCTTTCTCCACTGGTGTGGAGAGCCCAGAGCAACGAAACTCCTGGTTTACACGCCCGAGCGAGGAGGAGGTGATCTGGGTGAGCAGCCCGTCCCTCTTGCCCTTCCCAGCTGTCGTCTGTCCCTCCACATCTGGCTGATTCCTGTCGTTTCGAGGCTGATCTCTGCCTCCTCTTCCCCTGCCTCTCCCCAGTCTCCATCAGAGACGAGACAAATACCTTCCTCCTGGTGAGCGCTTCAGCCTCCTCCCAGCTCCGAAGAGCCAGGGCTTCGTACTGCGCCCTCACTTCTTCCACGATCCTGCTCAGATCCAGTTTGCATGCGTTGTCGATTCCCAGCACAACGGAAACGTCCTTGATCTCCGTCAGCAGCTCCTCAAGTTCCTGAGTAGCAAAGAGAGAACAGGGCTGAGACACCACGTCAGCAAAGCTACAGGCCAGGAGGGAGCTGGACCCCGGCAGATCTGCCGAGCTCAGCTGCCAAAGCGTCTCCGTGTGCGGGGTGGAGGTGGTGGGATCTCCTGGGATTCAGAGGAGCCATGGAGATGCACCCCCTCCATGGGCAGGGACACCTCCCGCTAGCCCAGGTTGCCCAAAACCTCATCCAGCCTGGCCTTGGGAGGTTTCCAGTCTCTGAAATTTGGAACCTGGTTTTATTTTCTCCGTAAAATTCAGACTCGGGGCAGAGGGTTGGTTTGGGACCTTTGGGTACAATCTGTTAGAGGATGAGCAAACGCGGCGTTTGTGCCGCGTCGGGAGGAGGTGGGTTGAACTGATGCTCGTGCTGCAATAGCTGTGAATGTTCAGGTGGTGATACACATGTCTGGGGCAAGAACCAGGGCGGTGTGGATCGTTCTGCGGGCTGGGGGTGCTGGGAAGATGCCTCTGCTGAGCTCTGAGGCTGCGCCTGCCGCTGCGGTTAGGATGGTCGGCTTCGCGTCTGGTCAAAGACGGGAAAACCAGGACCCTTCCCTGCACACATCCATCACCCGCAGACCTGTTCCACCCCCAGAGCTGCTCTCGTGCTGGGGAATGGTTTGAAGCTGGAAGAGGGGAGGTTTGGATGAGAAATGAGGAAGATTTTTTGGATGCTGAGGGTGGTGAGGCAGTGGCCCAGGGTGCCCAGAGAAGCTGTGGATGCCCCATCCCTGGAGGGGTTCAAGGCCAGGCTGGGTGAG